AGAGACTATTGACGAGCCTAGTTCTCAAGTAATGATGAGCCTATACCGACTGAGGACCCGTCAAGTAGCAGTGATAGTCAAGATGGAGAGTTATCCAACGATCCTGCAACTCGGCACTCGACTCGGGAAAGAAGGCAACCCGAATGGCTAAACGATTACGTCTCGTCTAACTTTGCCGAAGTTCTTCTTGTTGACGATGAACCTAAGTCTTACACTGAAGCCATCAGTTCAGAAGATAGTGCTGAATGGAAAACAGCAATGGACAAAGAAATGGCATCCATGCATACACACGGTGCACGGGAATTGACCGAACTCCCTCCGGGAAAGAAGACTATCAACAACAAGTGGGTCTACCGAATAAAGCGCAATCCTGATGGAAGTGTTGACAAATATTGAGCGAGATTGGTCATCAAAGGATGTGCGCAAAGACCTGGTATTGATTATGCCGAAACCTTCAGCACGGTTGATTGTCTGGAGGTCGTTCGATCAATATTGTCCATCGCAGCTGTTGAGAAGGTGGTTCTACGACAGTTTGACGTCTCAACTGCTTTCTTGTACGGAGACGTTGAAGAAGAGATTTTTATGAAGCAGCCTGAAGGATATTCAGATGGGACAAATCGTGTTTGTTGTCTCAAACGCAGCTTATACGGCCTGAAACAGGCACCTCGATGCTGGAATAAACGGTTTGACAACTTCATGAAAGGCTTAGGATTTCGACAGAGCCGTGAAGATCCCTGCGTCTATATTTGTCCTACCCCTGCTGGAAAAATCATCGTTGCACTCTATGTTGATTGATGACGGATTAGTCACAGCGACTAGTCAGACTGAAATGGACTTATTTATTGGGCAACTTCGTTCACAATTTTGAAATTGTTGCTAAAGAAGTGTCAAAATCTCAAAGACTCAAAATTTCTCAAAGTGATGGTGATATATTGGTCTGCCAATCAGCGTAGATCAAGAAGATCATTTCTCAATTTAACATGGAAGGGTGCAAGCCAGTACTTACTCCCATAGAGAAGCTCACTGCTCAAACGCCAGGGAAAGCCTCCGATTTTCCATACCGATCGGCAGTTGGAGCCCTACTTTATGTTGCTCGTGGTACTCGTTTTGACATTGCATTTAGTGTAAGTGTTCTATCCCGTCACTTGAAAATCCTACACAAGATGATGTCACAAGAGCAAAGCGTGTTATACGCTATTTGACCGGCACTGTGGACCAGAAGCTAACAGAAACTGTGTACCAATCCAAACCTAAAACACGTCTACTGGAGTGCTATAGTGACGCCGACTTCACTGGTTGTCCAACTACAATGTGTTCAACAAGTGGAGTTATTATTAAATACGCGGATGCAGCTATCACTTGGCTTAGTCGTCGTCAGGAGTTAGTTGCGGACTCAACTTGTGAAGCTGAAATCATTGCAGCTAATCTTGGTTCAAAAGAAACAATCTGGATTGCTCGTTTGTTCAAAGAACTTATAGGATTGTCTGCTGTTCCTATCCTGAAAGTTGACAACGAATCAGCAAGAAAACTCTGTGAAAACCCCGAGTTTCACTTTCGTACAAAACATATTCAGCGGAAGTACCTGTTCATTCGAGACAGGATAAATATAGGGATGCTGACTGTAAAGCACATCGGTTCGGAATATCAACTAGCAGATATACTAACGAAGCCTATACCGGTACCTTGACCAAGACTTCAAGTTCTGCGAGAAAATCTTAGACTCTCGGAATGACTATGCAAATAATAAGGGAAAGTGTTGAAAATGCCTGCCTTTTCTATTTATTTGTAATAGTCATACAGATGATATGAAAGTTGTTTTTACTATCAGCTGTCTGTTTTGTTGTCCAATATTGTTCCTTGTCACGAAAACATTAATGAGAAATACATTTGATTATTTTATAGTTTAAATTCATTTTTCGTCGTAGTTTTGCCTAGATTATCCTCCACTTGGGAGAATAATTCAAGAGTTGTAGCTAGCTACTTTCTCGGGACTGTAGCTATAGCTGGAGCTAAGCTACTTTTTTGGAAATGTAGCAGTAGTTGTAGCTACCTGAGTACCTACATTTGCCATTCGCCAATTGCGGGACTAGCTGTCACCAGAAATTATTAGAAGATGGCGGTCGCTGAGGCTACTATTGGTTATGTAGCTTACCACTAGCTCCACCCCCCTTCCCGGATGTTGCCAAGCTTCTTATGAAGCTGGTGATTATACGTGATTGATGTAACAATCAATAGACAAAATAATATGTTTATGACGCATGATTATTATTACAGCGTGGATAAATAAAAAGATACTTTAAACGTTTGATAAGCAACGCAAAATACGCTAAAAATTGTGAGGAAATTTCTGAATTAGGCTGATTAATTTGGGTTGTTTAGATTAGGCCTTTGTTGTGACAAAATACGATGACGTAATTGGAGACCAAATCTACATTGTTTTAAGGCATTGTTTTTAAGGCACTACACTATTTAAGGCATGTCTTCAATTCTTACTTATTATTATTCTGTTTTCACTTAAATCAGCTGAATGCGATGTTTACTTTTTACTTTAGTTATTATTTATTATTATGTAAAGATGAAACTCTTGTGCAAAAAAGTAAAACTTAAAAATTCTCTTAATGTTCCGTGGGAGTGTGGCAAGCCATGAGACTGTATATAGCAAATGTTTTTATTTACATCTGATTAAGACAGATGATTTGTTGTGATTGTAAATAGACTATTAATTGGTTTGAATGAAAACTAAACTGGATGAAATAAGTGTTCCTTATTCTTTTAACTTAAAACTAAATTTTATCCATCAAACTAATCCAGTTCTTAACTTATATTTACTATTACTAAGTAACAAGAAACTTTAAACTTAACTTCTAATTTTTACTCAACTAAATTTTTGTACACGCTTCCACAACTAAAACTTCTTTTTACTATACAAGAAAAATAACTCAATCCTCAATCCATATTTCGCATCAAGGGGTGAGCGAATAGGGGTTTTTTTAAAGTTCGAATCAAATATATTTTTACTATTCCGTATATTGAATATTTATGAGCGAATATTCAATCGAAGAGTTTTTAAGTTCAATTGAGTTCGAGATCAACTTAAGACAGCATGTTATGTAAGTATAATACAATGTAAGCTGACAAAAACTATAATTTATGTAATCAGAAATAAAAAGTTTTATGATAGTGTTTACTTATATATATCACCGTTTCCTTTTTCCCCTTTTATAAATGTATCATTCATGACCCAGGCCTTGGTATAGCGAGATTCTTAGTTGGTGGTTTTTAAATTTTCTGTTAAAATTCTGTATTTTGAAAAATTAAATAATTATCTGTCATTTACTGTTGTATTGTACTGTAGAACAGATTTCCCTGCCATACAAATCAAGAATTAAAGGGTACTTTCATGTTAAAAGAAAACCTTCATTATTAACGATGATTTTTTTTCTCTCGATATATCGATATTAACAAATTGAAACATATCAGCTGACAACTACGATGAATAAATGATGTTCAGTATTAACAAACAATTATTTTAAAAAATATTGAAAAAAACTGTTCTAAACTAACCTAACATAACTAACCAAACTTGTTATACATTTAACTAGGATTGCTTTCAGAGAGGTGAAAGCCAGTTGAGCGGAGGAAACGTGATTTGATATTTGTATAAGTAACTAAATAAAGTCAATAGATGTACTACTAATGCTTGTTTATTGATTAAAAGTATAATAACTCAAACTTAGTTTTTTTCACTATATCTTGTGATTCATATACCTCTTCTAAAAGTGGATTATTGTAGTTTTGACCAGGAAAATATTACAGTAGTTGGAATCTGGTTTTGACATGCAAAAATGACATTAAAGTATAAAAAAGAGAAAGGAAATTTGACATTTAAAAAATTCAACTGTGCAACATTAACATTTGTCTTCATTTCAACCCTTGCAATTGGTTAAACTCAGCTTTCTTTGCTGGAAATAATTTATGATTTGTAATACCAAGTATTCTTGATGGAGGATGATTGTAATGTAACTGGAATATAGGCCAAGGCCTTCTACCAATATTAGGACGATTTAGAGACGGGATTTTAATACCGGCCTTAATAAAATAAATAGGCCTACAAGGCCTATTTTAATGTAAAAACTAAAATGTAAAACACCTTTAAAAGACTTAAAAGACCTGAATTATCTATGTAAAACAAAAAAGTAAAACTGCAAAAAGACGGTGTTTACTCAAGGGAGGTATGGATGTGCCTACGATGACGGCTGTGGGCTGCTGATTAGCGTAAGTTGAAAGTACATTAAAGGTCATTACTAGTCTCTTTGAAGAAACGGTAGTCTTGATAGCTCATCAGCAGCTATCAAGTTGTTGGCTTCGGCAATTGCACTCTTTAATCTTTTGCTTGCCTCGATGTAATTCTTTCGTAGCCGTAGAGAAGACATTTCTGAGTTTGTACTATACCCTTAGGGATATCCAACCACGGAAAAAATTCCATCAACGCTCTGCTACCATGACGCGGAATTATAGGTGAGGATTGAGTTTTTCTTGTCCAGTAAGAAGCTTAATTGTGGAAGCGGGTATATAAATTTAGTTAGTTGAATAAAGTTTAGTAGTTTATTTACAATCACAACAAATCATCTGTCTTAATCAGATGTAAATAAAAACATTTGCTATACACAGTCTCATGGCTTAGCCACACCCCTAGTCCGGTTAAACCGATGTCCAGTTAAAAGGTGTCCGGTTAAAAGGTGTCCGGATAAGAGGGAGTCTACTTTACTGATTATTTTGATCGGTACTCTTAGTTTTCTTGAAAATTGGAATTTTGGCTTAACAGACACAATAACAGAGAAGAGAGAAATAAGAGATAATACCGGTTTCAGCTTTTTTAGCCTATAAAAAGTAAAAATGACCAAAAACATCATGATTTACACAATGTACAGACAAAACTGTATTGTTATTCTAATTGATGTATTTTAGGCATTATTTATCTTAAAGCATAACATACTTACTCTTCTCAGCTAAGAATTCCTGCAACGCCACCCTTTCTAACTGGAGCCTAAGGTACTCTATTGGGTGTTCCAGTCCTTTCATAAGTGCACCACTTTTATCATAGTGAAGATTTACTAGGTGTAGAACATTTTTCCTTTTTGATTCATCCATTTGTTTTGTTCTAGAATTCAAACAAATGGTTTAAAATTAGTGATGGGTCGGTACATAACGTCAAATGCCGGTTCCACCGGTTCTTAGGAAAATCGATGGAGAAATGTCGGTACCAGGTTAATGGGTTATATTTTTATTTACAAAATTCACATTGTCAACCAACCATGATGATTATTTTTCACTTAAGGCTGGTTGAAAGGACATATTTATTATGAAATATTACCAATAGTAGGCTATAGGATGATTATTTCAGTGTTAGTTGGTTAAGTTGTTTTCACTATTGTGAGCTGATAGAGTGGTGCAAACATTGACACCGATTGCTCCACCACCTTCAAGCAGAAGACAGAACCAGCAGTGGCGTAACAGAAGGGCCCGCAGAGCCCGCAATGCGGGGGGCCCGCGAATCTGCTAGCGGAAACTGGCGAGAATAGAGGCCCGTGAGACGAGTGGGGCCGAAAAATTTGAGTTAATTCTTATTGAAATGTAGTATCAATCATTCAATAATTATTGTATTGAACAAGCAATAACATTAATGTTAATAATAATATGTTGTCATAATTTAATTTTGTTAGGCCTATTCAGTGATAGCGAACTAAGGCATGGTGTAAGGAAAAAACATAGGTGTGCTATTCCCGTCATATGCTAACGTCACCCAGATTGCAAACAACCATTTCCCCATTTAAAAAAAAATCGTAAAAACAATAACATTTAAATCAAAACAAATATACATATATGCCAATACAATCAGGTGATTTTTGTTTGCAATCTGGGTGACGTCAGCATATTACAGGAATAGCACACCTATGTTTTCAGTTTAGTGTATAATGAATGACTACGCACCCGACGATGGAGTTATCTCCAAAACGGCCGTAGTGTTAAATCTTAAATCAACAGAATTGCGAGGACTGTAGGCCTAAGTAGCCTTTATATGCAATAGGCTATTTTAGCCTGTGATAAAAATATGTCAATCTTCTAAATTGACCAACTTTGAGTGTATGAGTTAGCCTAATTATTATAAACATCGATAAAAACTAACCGAATAAATAATTGATAACATGTGTAGTAAATTAAATATAACACCTCCTTTGAAATGAAAAATTCTGATACAGATTAAAATATAAGGTAGGGTATTTTTATTTTATTTCAAAACTTTCTACAAATACTGATATTGATATAATGATGTAACTTTATCATATAAAACCATGACTGAAATACTTAATACACCCTTTTATGGAACATAACCCATAATACTTTAATTTGCTTCATGACAATTTGTAAAATCCAATCTGACCTATCCTATTGTACTTTATTGTACCGAATGGAAATAAATATATTTGATTTGATTTGAATATATCCACTACTACAGTGTATTTATGATAAATCTGTTTGAGCATTGTATTGTTAATCGGAAAATAACTCTTGGGGGGGGGGGGGGGCGTTTGAATATGTTGTTTTGGTGGTCTATGAGAGGGGGCCTAAAAAATAAGTTTGCAGGAGGGCCCGAAAAAATCTGTTACGCCACTGAGAACCAGAAGGCAAGCTTAGCCTAATAAAGACTGGATCAAATAAATGATTTATTTGGACTCAACAAAATTATTACACTACCTTAAAACCATCTTTTCTTTATCTGAAGTTGATTATTAACTACATTAATAATAGTTAAATGACTATTTTATTTTATTCACACAGTTCATTATTTCACTTTGCTTTGAACAAACTATGGAAATACAGAAGCAACATAAATAGCACTGATTACTGAATGTGTGACACGAACCTCAAAGTCAGTCCAGTTCACCCTAACTGTTTGACTTAGTCCAGTCCAGTCAGTGGCTGAATTCATATTTTTAAGCCCAATGGTTAAATGTTGGGTTATTCCTGATTTTGACAAAACCTATTGCATTCGATCTGTAACCACCGTGACAAATTGCAACACTGCGCATTGCGCAAGACTACTATTTCAAATTTCAAGTTAAACAGTAAAATTTATTTACTGATGGATGGAACTACATGGGGCTACATGACAAACAGCCAAGCCTTCATTCAGCAAACCAAAAAGGGCTTTTATTTGTTATTGTTTGTATGCTTTGTTTGGTGGTTTGTACTTAATTTTCTTTTGTCTTACTCTTTCTCGAGGGAGGTGTGAAAGTTTAAAATGCAGTTTAGCGTCAATTTTCTTTGCAATTGAAGAATGGGACTTTGTTTTTGTTGGTTTCCTTAAATAATTTATATGTTGATGTGAATAATTAAACTTCTTTTGTCTGTAAAGAATAAGTGAAAGTGGATTAGTTTATTACAGGAATGTAGAAGTAGGGCTACAATAAGTTGTTGTTTTTATAAACTAATGTGTGATAAATTCTTGATAATTGCTTCCCAAGTTTGGAAGTATTTAAAAATTTATGAAGCAAACAACAGATTTGGGAAATGCACCATATTATTTAATTATCTACAAAGGTGGGGGTCTAAAAGCACTTTTAACCTAATGAAATACAAAAAAAAAACCACAATTCCCAGTACAGGCACTAGGCCTACAAAAAAATCATCACAGTCGCCAAACTATCACAGCGTTTGATAAATCTTTTTTTCAAAAAGCCTGCACCTTAAACTAAGTTATAACCTCAAATGACTATGTAGGCTCATTTTCTAAAAAGTTTTGTTCAAAGTGTCCTTTCCATAATACTTTGGTTCTAAATTTTCCTTAATACTGGAGCCTAAAAATAACTTAACTTAATGCACTTGTAGGTGCAAAATGATTTGAAATTACTTCTTTCTCAATATTTAGCTACAACTTAACAGGCAGTTAACTTAGTTTAACAAATTTTCAGAGCCACTTTTCTTTAGCCTATAGTAAAACTTATTGTTTTAGCAGTGAATCATTTCAACATATAGGCCTATATTTAACACTTCTGGTATTGTATATATTGTTTTTATTTGAATGTGTTTGGTTGGTTGTTAAATAGTTTTTGTAAATAGGCCTAAGTTTTATTTTGTTAATCCCTTAATATAACAAACCTACACTAATAAAAAATAATATTTAAAAAAAAATTTTAATACAATTCAGAAGAATCAAAAGTGGGATGGATCCCGTAAGTGAATAATGTTATAGTAAACCACTGAATGTTTTGAGCGTATATTTTAAGTGTTGACAATTTTATATATTTTACTTCATTTGAATGTATTGAAAATTGAAATATTTATAATAAAATTCAATAGATAAATTGAAATTCATTTCCTTCCTGCATATTTACAAAATACTCATTATAAAGAATCTATATATTTAATACGCTAGGCATATTTTTGTCATAATTGTTTTGGGGCGGTGGTGCTACCGATCACCATGTCCAAGGTGTCGTTAGAAAGGTCTTAGCATGTAGTTTTGCCATCAAACAAAAAAACGTTGGAATTCCATCAGGGCTCTGCCCCAGTGGCCTTCAAAGTTCCCATGTTATTCTTAGGGAGAAAATGTTTGTTTACATTTGTACAGATGAATACTTTGAAATTAAAACTAATATTTGAAACAGCTGGTTATACTAAAATTGGAGACATATGCTATAAGGATTTATTAGATTAGTTGAAAAGATTGATGTTTCACTGTTTTAAACCAGTTTTTATTTGGACGAAATCAAAACATAACCAAAAAAAGTTTGACATAATAGAGACTATAATACGTCGACCAGGACAACCAAAAGGAGGAGGCCGACGAACTTTAACTGGTAGACGCGAATGAAATACAAATAATACTATTGCCGTTGATAGCCGAATACAGCAAGCACCCTTCTGTTGGGATTAATTGTGTGCTCTCCAACAGCCGCCTGAAGATTTCACATTCAATTTAGGACTGTTGGATAATCGCTGCATAAGCTGTTGATTTTGGAAGACAAGGAGGCGGGTAGGACTACATCGGAAACAGAAGAGAGGAGATATTAGATGAGTGGCAAATGTGTTGGGAGCATAGTGTTTTATTTTAACGTTTTAAATTTAAAGGTAAACGTTCGGATATATACTTTACATCAGAAAGAGACAGGACAAGATTGGGAGATGGGCCATTATGAAACGCAGTTTGTCACAGGACATGGCAAATTTCAAGGTGAATTTGTGGAGATTTCACCCGGTGGAAGAGAAAGTATGTAGATGTGGAGAAATAAAAACCACGAGTCACGTATTTATTTATAAATTGTTCACTTCAGGGGACAAATAGGAGAGAACAGGAATAAGTCTTAGATAAGATAGGTCTAGAGATGAGAAAATAAAACATGATGAGTGACAAGGAAACAATTGAGACAATCTGAAAAGTAGTTAGGGAAATAGGAAAAACCAGGAATACATACAGGCTTTTAAATTAAAAAAAAGAAACAAACAAAAACTAAGAAAGGAAAGGAATGAAAACTTGCCCATGAAGAGGAAACGAAAGGTTAGAGCGAATCTCAATGATCCCTATCGCTCAGGGCGGTATGGGGAAGGGAGTGGTGCTGTTAGGCTTTTGGACACATAATGTGTCTGGAAACCTATAGTCCTCGCCACCCTAAGTTGAGGCAGCCCAAGGCCGCACGGCGTATATCTAGTGCGGCCTTGGGCTGCCTCAACTTAGGGTGGCGAGGACTATAATGCGGCTATGAGTAAGGTTATTTGTAGAAAACACTATTTACAAGAAATGTTGATTATATCGATCTGTTATGTACATCTTGAGTATTTCCATAATCTTATTTGAGTTGAATCTTTATTCGTTTTATAATAACGCCTGTAATACTTAGCAATTGCTCGAATTCGAGCAACAGGTACACTAGTTAATGAATAATAAATAAATAGTATTAATAATCCATACATTAAGGTTCATTCAAGCAATACGTATTAGTGATGTGTCAAAACCAAATCTCAAATCTCAAAACCATCAAAACTTTGGAAAAGTTTCGGTTTCGAGATTCGATCACCGAGTTTCGAGATTCAAAAGTTTCGAAATAGGAAGTTTTGGCACTTATATTTAAGAAAATCATGACATTTTTGTGTCATTATTATTAACATTGTTTACACACAAGCTAGTAGCAATCGAGCAAACACATCTCCATGAACACTAATGAAACAAGTAAATTGTATTCTGAACTGCAAAAGGCATCTTAAATACTGGAACAGCTTAGAATTCAGTTTCATATCGATATTTATTAAAAACAAAGAAATATTGATTACTAAATGTTCTAATTAATGTAATGTTTATGTTTATTTCAATGTCAAGAGTTTCATTTATTTTAATGTTAGTTGTAAAAAAAAAATGTTATTTTGTTTATGCGTCACATTTATGTTATTACCTCTATCTGGATTAGGAGTCAATCTCTTTCAGTTTTGATCGCATAATCTCATAACCATAATGAAAATGTTATCATTACCTGTATTTTTTATTTTTAGCAACCTTGACCAAGAAACTAAAAAGTTTCACGTTCAAGTTTCGAGATTCGAGATTCGGGATTCAAATTTTTAAGTCTTGGTTTTGGTTTTGAGATTCAAAATTTCTGGTTTTGACCATCACTAATACGAATACAGATATTACACAGTAACTTAACGTATCGAATCAATAAATACAGTATTTTATAGCCATTGCTTTACATTCTACTCCCATCATTAAATATCTACTAAAGTTACTTTCTTTATTAATTTATTACAATTGGTATTATACGTAATCTTATTTGAAAATCAATTACTTTTATAAAATACAGTAATACCTAATAAAAATTTGCAACATAGTGCTTATTCGACACTAAATGTGTGGCAATACCAGCGCTCACATAGGCATAGATATACGGTGCTGGGAGCCCGAGGTACCGCTCTGACGTCACAGCGGCGGCTTGGTGGGGAGCCACCTGACATCACTTTCTGAGCTCGCCTGGCCTAGCCCTTGTATATCTCTAGCCCTGGCCTAAGTTAGTCTAAATTGTGGCAAGTCAATCAAATTATAAGACCATATGGAACCATTGGATTAAATTTGATACATTGACGCTTAAAATCTTAAAGCAGGTTGATACTGTCAAAGAATCAATGTTTGACTCCAGGAGGTTCTAAAATCCTTTATAAAATCCACTATTTCTAACTGAAATCTTTGCATACCTATACAATTGCTGATAGAACGAGCCCAATTTGTGGTGGAGCATGGCTGCCCGAAATTGGTACATACACTGACGAAAATCTGTAGTATCTAGATCACATGACTGAAGGGCTTTGGTAAAAAGTTCTATAAGCTCTCTCTCTGTTTCCTCTTGACTCTGCAACATTTTCAATTGATATCTTTCAGTTTAATAGTAAGAAATAATAATAAAACAGGTAAACGATTATCAATAAGGGGAAAGATTGTGGATTTATGAACAACTAGCAGAGTATCCTTCCTGCTTATGGGATTGGCGTATAAGTATAAAATGCTTATTGCAATTATACTCGTGCTTTGCGTTTGCAATGGGAGAGGACACAGTTTAAGAAAATTTGGTTCTTTTTTCTTTTTATTTACGGTATGCTATAGTATAGCACATCTACCATAGCCATAATGTTCTACCACTTCACCTAAACAACAGAAAAAAAAAATTAAATATTTGCAAAAATACCACTGCCTCTAAACAATAAAAAAGATAAATTATCATTTTTCACAGCTTTTAGTTGCTAGTTGGTTCAAATTAGATGTTGTCGTAAATGCAAAAAAATTTATAGTTCTGCACCCTGTTGGTAAACCTTATAGCTTTTTAATGCTATATAATATCATAGAACCAACTTTTGTAGTTGAAACAGCTGACAAAATTATTTTATTCCTTTTAAATATGAATACTCATAAGGATAAAGCCCCCCATACTCGGACGAGCATGTTCGCGAGCCTGTTGGCGGACTTGCTCGCGAACTTGCTCGGCGTTTTCAACAGACGGTCGAGCATACTTGCGAACTTGCTTGCCGCCACCCGCACTTGTACTCACTTCTCTCGTGCTGTGACAGTCCAACGAGCCGAGCGCCGAACCTAACATGCTCGCAGACCCCACACACTGGCGAGCATGTTCGCCGCCAACACCGTAACGAACATGCTCGTGAACATGTTTGCCGGTGTATGGGGGGCTTAACATGGGAAACTCCAGAGCCACTTGGGTGGAGCCCAAAAGGATTTTTGGGATAAGAATGTGTCTATATTTTAATCGGGCATGTGAGCTATCATCACACATTTTAGCCCAATCCGACCAGTATTTTTCACTTTTACTTGCCACCAGCATCCATCCATACATCCAATACATCCAAACATTTTGACTTGTAATATTAGTAGGATTACTAAATTTGAAACACAAAATTCCATTTAGGTGTCATTAATTCTTTATAAATGATTATTTTTTATAAATATATTTGCATATGTTTGTTGAAGATGTGACAATGGTGATTGATTTTGACCACTCTCACTTTTAATCAGCAGACGCAATCATTGACTGTTAGTTAAATTAAATAAAACACAGTTTACAAAATTTTCTTAGCTGAGATTTACCTTATCATTTATTGCCGGAGGATTGTCCTGATACAGAGTAGCCATTGTGTAGAGAGTGGTGGACAGCTCCCATGTGATAACATCCCACACCTGGGGACCTGACTTGCGACTGCCCAGCACTCCTAGCCCCTTTTGGTACAGACTGAGAGCCTACAACATAACACATATCATATGGATGCAGAGAGTGGCCTGGTGTAGAGAGTGTTGGACAGTGTCCCATGTGATAACATCCCACACCTGGGGACCTGACTTGCGACTGCCCAGCACTCCTAGCCCCTTTTGGTACAGACTGAGAGCCTACAACATAACACATATCATATGGATGCAGAGAGTGGCCATGGTGTAGAGAGTGTTGGACAGTGTCCCATGTGATAACATCCCACACCTGGGGACCTGACTTGCGACTGCCCAGCACTCCTAGCCCCTTGTGATACAAACTGAGAGCCTACAACATAACACATATCATATGGATGCAGAGAGTGGCCATGGTGTAGAGAGTGTTGGACAGTGTCCCATGTGATAACATCCCACACCTGGGGACCTGACTTGCGACTGCCCAGCACTCCTAGCCCCTTTTGGTACAGACTGAGAGCCTACAACATAACACATATCATATGGATGCAGAGAGGGGCCATGGTGTAGAGAGTGTTGGACAGTGTCCCATGTGATAACATCCCACACCTGGGGACCTGACTTGCGACTGCCCAGCACTCCTAGCCCCTTGTGATACAGACTGAAAGCCTACAACATATCACATATCATATGGATGCAGAGAAGGGCCATGGTGTAGAGAGTGTTGGACAGAGTCCCATGTGATAACATCCCACACCTGAGGACCTGACTTGCGACTGCCAACACCGCGGAGTGTCGGAACCGTTTGTGGCAGTTAGATAAATGTATCTGCAATACTAAAATGGTATGGGAAGGGAGGGAAACAAGTCCTCAATGTAGGAAGTGATGATAATAGTAGTTGTGGACCTGTTTCCTTTGTGAACCCCACAACTTAGGAGGACAAAGTTGTGATCAAAATGTTATATAAATGGCCCCAATACTTGAGAATGATAATACGTTTTAGTACATTTACTTTTAGACAGTATATTTAATATAGTAAATACATGTTTTAAACAGTATTTTATAATGTCATTGTTTGTAAAGGAAACAAAATTATGTTGAAAATCATACATATGCATGTTTTATATTTTTTCCATTCCAAACAAATGTTAAACCAAGCAACGCTCGGTCCCCTAGTACTGAACATTAAATGTACATCTCCTAGTACAGGCCTACAATGTACATCTTGAAATACAGCAGAAGGATTTTGTTGAATGTTTGAGTGTAGAGGGTTGAAAAACTGATAGGTGAAACCCACTATCTGAGAAAAACACATTTATAGTAAAAAGTCTAAAAAAAGAATAGTTTAAGAATTTATAAGGTTTTTATAGTGTGGGAAGTAAAAAGAAAGGAGTACCGTAGTAAACAACAAAATACCATGATCCCTTCGCTTGACTTGCTTTCACTGCTCTGAAAGCAATCCTAGTAGGCTATTTAGAAATGGTTGTGGTTTGTAAATGATTTTGAAGATCCCCAATTTTTTAGTTACCGGATTTTTCTAGTTAAATTCCTAAGTAAAATATGAATTGAAAATGTAAATATTGGAACATAATTGTGGATCTTCTAACTACTTAACATTAACTGATTTGTTTGTAAAAAAAGTCATAAATTATTTGTGTGTGATCTGTTTTGATAAGTATTAAAACATCAATTACCTTGTCGTAGAAGGCCCGTTCATCGGGTTGCAGTCCTGGTTTGTCTGGACTGCACTTGTACAATGCCTGCATCCTCATCAGTTTGCCAGAGTTGGACAGGAGTAGTGCTAGGTTGTACTTGTCTCCAATCTTGGCAAACTCCTCCTGGCCCAAGTCTAGATATTGCTGAGCTAAATTGAACCAAGTTTCTATCTGTGAAAAGAAAATTAAATAACTTAACACGTCCATTAAATTAGGGTTTTAATTTTTTTTTACAAGAATGTTCAAGCATAGATAAAACATACTCCCTTGGAATATGTGTCATCCTTACGGAACAGCTGAGGCCAATTTTATTGTTAGTTCTGTGTGTCACACTGTAGAGGTTATGTTTTGTTTACAATTTGTTTCTTGTTATTTCAGTAATTTAAAACCTCGTTAGACCAAATTAATCGATCTAGTCATAAACAATAACTGGTCTCCTAGTTATATAAGCAAACAGTAAATCACAAATCATTAAAATAACCCTAAAATAATTTTAATAAATTTTGTCATCACTAGCGATCAGTGTCGACATACATGAACGAGACACGAAAAAAAGCTTCAAAATTTACAGTGGGATGAGAAGTCTACGTGTGTTGCTTAGTCTATGGTTCATGTTTGTGGATTGAAGAAGAGGCGTTGCAGCAGGAACTGTTCCCACAGAGGAGAATGCTTGCTCTGGCGGCAGAAACAGAGCTGACTCCACCTCCACAGCCTCCTTCCTCCCTCTACTCTGACAACTGAAGAAGGTTTTTCAAAGATATAGCTTTGCTAGCTATCCTGTGAAAATTATAGTTTAAGGGCTACCTGACACACGTCACAAATTATAACTCTGATGTTTTGTCCTAGTATATCTCATACTCATAGATATAGGAATTATTTATGTGTCTCTTAGACCCTACACTTTAATTTTCTTATCATAGCTAAAAAAATTCTCCTTAGCTACTCATGCCCGGTTTCTGATTTGAGTGGTTTTGTTGTTGTGTAATCTAAGTATGAAAAACTGACAATTCCATTTAGTGCCCATAAGATAAACTTTATAAATACTGACCTGAGATCTGACCAAAGGATCATCCCTCTTGTCTACCTCCACTGCTGAAATAATAACATATTTATTAGATTCTGGGAAACGATAAAATTAAATATTTTTATCAAGCCTTATAGAAAAAAAGCTGTTTTTTTTTATGAGAACTGATGTGAACAAAACAATAGTTTCTCAAGTTCATATTTTAAAACACAAAAAAACAAACATCTGATATTATTGATCTAGATTTTCTAACTTTTAATCCCAATTATTTTTTTCTATTTGCTCACTAAGCAGGCTATTGTTTCATTTCAATCATGCTATTGATTCATGTTAATTTTGTTTTCAAACATATTTTCTGTTGACCATTTAAATCCAAAGATAAACAGATGAATGTATCCTATACTCTAATACGAGCTATGTCTGTCTGTCTGTAATATATATCTCAAAATCCAGCAAAAGGATTTTTCCTACAGTCACTCGACAAAGTTGGCTTCCCTGTACTGTTTATAGTACAGAAAGCTGCTAATTGCTGCATATTTATACCTTGCCGTACGGTTTATACTTTGCCGCACATCAGGATTCCAACCAAACAACACAAAACAGCGTGGTTTTATTATGTACGTAATCCGTGTACGCTTGGAAATAGGTTGGCAACACTTAAAGATAATAATTCTATGAGCAGCTGATTGACTATTATAACTACGATTTAACCTGTCATTTCGTGTTTATAGTTTCGGTATTTCTGAACTTTCTGGACTTTTCTTTTAAACGTTTTTAAAACATTCCTACGATCTTAATAAACAAGAAAATACCTTTAAAGCATTTTTTTAGGCGCCGAAACCACTTCAAATTACTAAAACATACGGAACTATATTCTCAAAACGCGGAGCACATTTCTTACCAAGGAAAAATAGCGGAGTGATACGGACCGCGGGTACTACTTTCTCTAGGACACCATTTGTGTTGCCAGCTGAACCTAAAAAAGTGTTGTATAGTGTTTGAAAGACTAATTATTTATATGCTTTATAGTGACTGTAGGAAAAATATAATGTGTAACACGAGTGAAAAAGGCCTTTGCTGCACTCGAGATCATTCCGCACGAGCCGCTCTTGTGTGCAGCAAAGTGCCACTTTTACCACTAGTTACACAAATAACTATTGACTAAATTTTGGAATTTTAAATTTTGCAAGTGTTTAAATTTGAGGTTAAGTCACATTGTCATTGTGTTAATGATTGAAACTGTGTTTAATACACGATTAGAAGATTAATAGCAATTTTTAATTAATCACCTAAGTGAAAAAACCGTGTTAAGTGATGAAGACACTTAACACTAGTCCCTCCTTCTCTACAGCACGACAATTACTTTTCCATTAGATGCCAGCCAATGCTGCCATAACAGGTTACTTCCAGCAACAAGTTCAATGATTCAGTTATTTCAAGTCCCACACAACAACTTAAAACTGGAAACTGATTATCAAAAATTGTTTGTCAGACTCTCAGAATTATTTTTTTTTTACGGTGATTGGCAGCAACACAATCAAAAAGTGTTATTTTAATAACATGGAGATCGCGGCAACCAGTTATTCATTCTGTTATGCTAAACATCTCTAGGTAGGACCAGCTAGAACAGTGCTTAGGGAATGCGACCTCTCTGTTAGGTTTGAAGTACTTTGATTTCTTTTATTTAATAGGAGCGTGTTGTACACCTTAAAATACAGTCAAACCTGTAATATTGTCCACTTTGTGTTAAGACATCAAGATTACCCAGACCCAATGAATATTTAACAGTAGCCAACTAACCCAACACCCCAAATTTCACTTCCTTCAGATCTCTAGTAAGCAACTCAAAACAACTTAATAGCTGATGTTGCTAACTTGATAAGGAGATAACATTTAAACAAACCTATGATCTTGTTTAAGTAGATTGTGTGGAGTTCGTTGAGCACATTGCCACTTCTTGCGTGCAGTGCGTCACTGGGCTTCAGCTTGAGGGCCTGATGATAGCAACTCCAGCTGCTAAGTAACATCTGCTCCACACTCTCAAACTCCTCTGGGATTATTACACATTCTGAAAATAAACATCAAACAATGGTTCAAGGTAGTAGTGATGGCCAACTGAATCCCTAATTTCAAAACCTAAACAGAAAACTATTTTATTTGTCAGGTTAAATAAAATTAGGTATAGGTTGGCTTTTAAGAGCTTCGTGGGTTTTACCCGTTTTAGAAAAAAAAAACTCTAACCGGGAATTAATGGAAAACGTCAGTTTCGATTTTTATTTGCCATGCCATAATTGCACTGTGATCTCGTGACACAATTTGAAATTTTTCGTCATTGTTGGGTACGTATGTGGATTTTGCCACTGAGGATAACGTTTTTGTGATGGCAGAAGAAGATGATGATGTCAACAAGAATACAGATAGAACCCCTCATATTTGAAAAATATGTGTTCTGATGTAGTTGTGGTTTTAATTATTTTATCAAAACGTTTGATCGCCTTAAGTTTTTATTTCACACTGTTACTACGTTATGTTTACGTTTTGACGCACTAGTTTTTTCATTGAACAATAGTAGTGTACAACACAATGCAAATAACTTGACAAAATAACACAATTATTATACAGTACTGTAGTAATCAAATCAAATCAAACTTTATTGTCACAAAACGTTTATACATAGCATAGCTACAAAACAGGTGACATTGTCAAATTATAATAAATACATAGTTGGTCATCTTACAATTCTATAGTTAAAAATTAAATAAAAATAAAAGTACTGACTTTTATTTAAAAATAGTTCACAACAAATTATGTATATATTAATTACGTAAGCCGATTCTTTGCGTCAAAATTGTGGGCCACTGGGAAGAACGACGGGAGAGGGCTCAAATTAAAGGTCTCGATCCTATGACGGCAGGAAAAATAGTGAAATTCCCTCAATTTTAACACAATATTGGATGTAATGTAAAATGTTCTCCATAAGAAATGCATTAGAAGCCATTTACTGCTGATTTTTGTTTACTTCAATACAGCTGATCGTGATTAATCATCAAACCAGTAAGCAATATTACATTTGGATTACTCATTTGCCAGTCAATTCTGCAATGTACTGTATACTATATAAAACCAGGGATAACCTTAGGCCTACCTATAATAATAAATACTTTTAGTTACGTCTTAGAATGTTGAAAACAATTATTTTACCGTGCAATTGGCAAACTTGTGTATTTTTAAGTAAATTAGTTAAGCGTATGATAAGTAGTAGAATCGTAGGAGATGGCTCAAATCAAAGGAATTAAAGTTAGAATGGCTGAAAAAAATTGTGAATTTTTTTCTTCTAACTTAACGGTTATTGTTGTGTTGAAGGAATGTTCGACATGAAATAACTACATTGACTAAATAATAATCGATTCAAGATTATTGAAAACTTCTGCTTTGTTTTGATTTCAAAACATTTCTTAAAGATTTATTCTACACTTTTTTGTATACTTACTAACATTTTTAATTTGAGATTTATTGTAGTGTTTACTAAAGGAGCATGCACTTAGAAATAATAACTGGGTCGGGGAGCTAATTTCGCGGTTTTAACTAAGAACTAAGCTTATCTCAACACACCTTTATTTGCCTTTTCATACCTTTGGAGTAATTTAAATTATTTATTAAAAATAACATCAACAAAAGCAAACAAAGACAAACAATAAACACAAAAGATATGTTGTACTGGGATATACAGGGTGTTTGGTACTCAGTGTGAAAAAAAAATTTTGGTGTAAGTACAAAGTAAATGCAGTATGATGATGCATATAAAATGTCCCAAGTCTAAAAATTAGCTTTCCAAAGAATTATTTTATGTTTTTAAAAAATGACTATGTTTTTAAACTTAATACAGCTATTTCTCATATCCATTACCTGTAAATGGATTTGAGTAGACAATGTCATTTTCGTGTTCTACATTAAATTTTGAATAAGAATAATACAAAATGACAGAGGATCAGTTGTAAAAACTCCATCGTAAATAGATTCAAAGATAAAAATTAAGATGTTTGGTAAAAATTCAAAAAACATTGGTCAATTGCATTTGTTCACACCCTGTATACAAGAAAGTGTCGGAATATGTTAAAAACTGCGCCATTTTATAAGCTTTCCAACCATATGCTACACCATTGAGCTTTCTGTCTGCTTATGTACGCTTTCGTGGTTTGAAGACTACAAAGCATGGCGTCTTTATCATTTAAAACATAGAAAGTCAGCATGTATTAAGCAAAAGATGTATTTTTGTTTCAGCTTGAACAGTAAAAACAGTAAAAAAGTTCCCTGTTTTCTGGCATTCAAACCACTAAAATAAACAAAAAAATATCTAAACCTCACTAGTGTAGCATATGGTTGGAAAGCTTATAAAATGGCGCAGTTTTTAACATATTCCGACACTTTCCTGTATACAGGGTGTGAACAAATGCAATTGACCAATGTTTTTTGCATTTTTATCAGACATCTTAATTTTTATCTTTGAATCTATTTACGATGGAGTTTTTACAACTGATCCTCTGTCATTTTGTATTATTCTTATTCAAAATTTAAATGTAGAACACGAAAATGACATTGTCTACTCAAATCCATTTACAGGTAATTGAGAAATAGCTGTATTAAGTTTAAAAACATAGTTATTTTTGAAAAACATAAAATAATTCTTTGGGAAGCTAATTTTTAGACTTGGGACATTTTATATGCATCATCATACTGCATTTACTTTGTACTTACACCAAAAAATTTTTTTCACACTGAGTACCAAACACCCTGTATATCTGATATATGTATTAGATTTATTTAAGTTTGTTTATACTGTATTACAATAGTTTGTTTTACATTTGAGCTTTTCAGGGACTTATGTCCCTTCAAGCCACTAGTACTCATTAATATTGTAGTAGTTTTTTTTTTTAAATTTTGATAGATTCTTTTTAAATGACATTATATTGGCTATATTTTATAAACCTAGTGGTAACTTATTGTACAACTTTTTTCCGATGTATGTTGGTGTCTTTTCAATGAGACGCAGACGATGGATCGGTAATTGAAAATTATTTTTAAACCTTGTGTTGTTGTGTTGTATCTGTGGTCAAAATTATCATTTAATAAATTTTCATAGTTTGTTTGTACCATTACTAAGGTTTTGAAAATGTATAAATTTGGAACGGTTAAGATGTTTAATTCCCTGAACAGTGATTTACAAGATTTCCTAAAATATGAGAATGTCATTATTCTTAAAAACCTTTTCTGTACTTTAACAACTTAAAACTGAATCACTTGATAATCCCCAGAACTCAATCCCATAGTTAATAATTGAAAAAAGAAAGCATAGTAGATATCAATTCTAGTTTTAAGGTCAATATAATTACGTAGTACTATCAGCACTGAATATAATCAAATAAACAGTTACCTTGTTCAATATCCTTTGGTGCTATTAGATGACGACCGGTTTCGTGACGACAATCACATCATCAGGTCAATCCTCGTAGAACGATTCGTTATAATAAATACATAAAGTTTTTACCAAACACAAGACGAAAACACATTATATTTACAAGATATTTACACACAGAAACCATCGCGATGCGTGCACGCTTATGTCGAGCCGCTTTAAAATTATAAAGCACTACCAATAACAAATTTTGTAAAACTCATTCAACCAATTGGGTAACTTAGTGATAATCATTATAACCACATAAAAACGCACATTGTTTTCTTTTACTAAGTAGGGATTTAGGCCTACAACTTACTGTCAGCCCTAAAAGAACATAAACTTTAAAAAGGTATGCCTAAAATAAAACTTGTCAAAACTTAACATAGGCCTAGCCTAATCTCATGACTTGGGCTTAGGCTACTGGACAACTAGGTTTGAAGGTACTAGAACCTAGGCCCTATTTTTAACCATTTACAGTACCTAGTTTAAATCTTCGATTGGGTACAGTTTCTTAACTGGGCTATACTTACATCGATTGAAACTATCGAATTTAAAATATTGATTAATAATCGATATTTTTAAATATATCTATTATAAAATTAAACTATCATAACCTAACCTAACCAACCAAACTTGTTGATGGTGAAAAAATCGCATGAAGGTTTACTAATCGAATCGATGGTTTCAATCGATATTAGCATAGCCCAGTTAAAAAACTGTACCCCTTCGATTGAAATAATAAAGCCCCTTTTAGCCTAAATGTAGGCTAACTTAAACTGAGGCATTTTTAGAATGAGTTTATTAAGTTACATAGGAAATGTATAATTATTAACTTTTAACCTACTTTTAAGGACTTTTTACACGTGTTGCATTCTGCAACAGAGCCCTTTTTGACAAAAAAATCCCAAATTAAACTCCTTTACTTATTTTTGAATTCTTGTGATGATGTTGAAGGCACATTTAGGCCTAAATCGGCTTCTTCATCTGAATCCATCTTGTGTCATTCAACCAAACCAAAAACCAAACATAAATGAAGCCTAGGCCTACAACTTTTAGGCAATATCCAACTGTATAAAAGCAACTGTTGTCAAAATATACAAAAATTGTTACTAAGTTTAGCTGAAATACTTAGCGCAGACGTGCTAAACAAACTGTCTCTAAACTCCAACCTCAAAACTTCTTGTCTTGTAACACAGCTTGCGCTAATGCAATAGAAAAAAGAAAGAACAGAAATTGTTGTCTGCTAGAGAAGCAGAAGTTGAGTAGAAGCAGACTTCCATAGCAAGTGCGAATTAGGTTTTACTCTGGGATCACGGCAAATCTATCTAGCAGACAACATTTGTATATATCATCATTCATCATTGACTATTGGGTTTGTAATAATTTATTGCCTGCCAGTCTTTCTGAAAAATTAACTGATACCTACAATATATGTTTTATTCTTCATTTAAAATATTGTAAATATTGTCATTGATTGTCCCCTTGGTAAAATACAGATCAGTTTTATAATTGTCCTTGTCTTTAATATTTTTAACAGGGTTGTTGTATTAATAGTCAAAGATATCATATTTCAAGTTTATAACGGTGACGGTGCGCGTTTTGGTACCATGTATAACAGAACTCAGTATAATTTGTTCCGGTATCTTATTCGCCATCACTTTTTCAGTTTTACTTCACTAAAAATAGACACATCAATGTCGTATGCTAGATTTATGTAGGTCTACCGTGATCCCAGAACAAAACGTAACTTGAACCCGATCGCCATCGCCTAGAACAATGAAGGCGGATGAATGCTAACGTAGTGTTTTGCAGCACATAATGAGTTTAATAATGTTGAAAAATATAATAAAATAAAATATCTAAGTGAGTTTCAATTAAATATTGTATTGCATTTTTATTTAATCTGAAGCAGCTTAACAGTTTTTATTTATTTTCAAACCAAGTTAGAACGGAACTATTTTACCGACCTTGTTTATTTGGCTAATGGCGGAGGACATTATTTCATCGGAAACTCACGACACGATTACACAATAGTTGAAAATGAAACGTTGTCACTCGATAGTCGATAGAAACTGATTACTATTGGTATTTTAGCCCGATGGTAATTTTTTATTAATTACTTGAAACACTTTTTTGGCCAACTTGATTTGTTTTATGTTTTCCAAAGCTCCAACTAATTATGTGACCAGATGCGAAGTATTCGAAAAGGTCCGAACTATTCGACCCCCGTCGAACTATTCAAAAATTAGAATACTCGCAGATAGAACGAATCGAATCGAATAGTAGTTTTACTATTCGATTCGATTCGAAATTTTGAATATTCGCACATCCCTATTTTTTAGCCACTAATTCCAAAAATCCTGATCATTGACTACATAGCCTATCCCTATATAATTGTCAAACCTTATTCCTCACTTATTCTCTATATATATATTCTAAATCAAGCTTAAAAAGCTAATTCCTTCATTTATTGACCCCTACAAGTGTAAATGTAAAGTAGTGGCGAGCCCAGAATATGAAGCCACTTTCGGCACGTTTTCCCCATAAGAATAACATGGTGAGCTTTTTTTAGCCACTTTTTTAAAAATCCCGCTCTCGGTCTATACACCGCTATACAAATGTTCAATACTATTGTACAACTCCATTATTATTTCATTCAAATCCACATCCATTCGCACGTATATTTTCAAAATCGTGCGAGGTTTGTACGCGAACTCGGGCGCACTCCTGACTCATGGCGCGCTCGGTCTTCTTGCCTCTAGTGGTGACGCGGTGAAATGCCGCTCCCTTAGGCTTGCTTCTCGCTTCTTGTTCCCAGTGGCAGCTCCCTGATGCAAGAATTGGCGTGTCTTTTAAAATGTCCAACAACATTCGTTTTACAGAAATTACAAATCTTGTGACTTTGTAATACTGTATATGCGATTTTAGAGCCATGTTATTATCACAGACTAAATCACAAACTTTGCACAGTTTCGCCTTCATTTGATGAATTACCTTGTAGTGGCGAATCAGGTTGCTTTTGTTGGAGAGCGACACGGGGCAGTGTTGACATGACGGCTTCATGTTTAGGAATGAGGTCTCGGACTGATGCCACCTCTATATATAGACTTTTGGAAAATTTCAAAATTTGTAACCAGAAATATGTGTGCGAATGGATGTGGATTTGAAATAGTAATGGAGTTGAACAATATTATTGAACATTTGTATAGGGGTGTATAGACCGAGAGCAGGATTTTTTAAAAAAAAGCTCACCATGTTATTCTTATGGGGAAAACTCTTGTGCCGAAAGTGGCTTCATATTCTGGGTTCGCCACTACTTTACATTTACACTTGTAGGGTCAATAAATGAAGGAATTAGCTTTTTAAGCTTGATTTCGAATATATATAGCCTATATATAGAATAAGTGAGGAATAAGGTTTGACAATTATATAGGGATATGTAGTCAAAGATCAGGATTTTTGGAATTAGTGGCTAAAAAATGATCCCCATGTTATTCTTATCGGAAAAAACGCTTAAGTGGGGTATCTTCCCTATAATTGCCCCTACTGTCTGTAGATGAATTGGATCCTCTGTAGCAAAGTTGTGATAAATTGAACTCAAAACATTTATTGGGTGTGTACACAAGAAGGTATAACATACACCTAATCCAAGATGTGTAATGATTGTTTCACTATGTTAATGCTCACCGTTTGGATACTCGTCGCTCGGTATATCAGCTGCCATCTCCTGAGCTATGGCTTTGTCAGTGGGTGAGAGTTGCTGGTAGTCCTTCTTGTGAGTTTCCAGGTTGTTCCAGTCCCGGGTGATGTGGAAGCAGTTGTCTCCGCCTCTACCCAGCATGCCACTGACCAAGCTGTTGCATCTACCACAACCTCGTGCCATGTGTGTATGACACCTCAAGACCATCTTGACATATAGCAGTGACTTGCCGTACCTGACCATTAGGGAAAAAGTCTCAATGTGGTTACAAGAGGTAAAAATCAAGGTATATTTAACCTAATTTTGTTGTCATTGGCCCTCAAATCTATAATATTAAAACGTAACAGGGTTTTTTTTTATTTCACGATTCTGAATCAACCACTTGACGGATTTTCATTATTTTTGTGTTGAAAGAAAGATAATTTTGAGAACTAGGGAATGTCGAAGCCATAATTTTAGTTTAGGATTCCAGTTAAAAAAAAATAAGTTTAAAATTTTAAAAAGTCTAGCAGCCGACGCTATCATTCTAAACTAGCTTTTGGTATAAAATCGTTTGCTTGACGTAACAGCTGTAAACATTAAGCGTGTATGTGACACAAATTCAGCATTTGGATAAAAATGAAGGGAAATAGGCCTGGTTTACTTATTTATACTATGTGTAATGCATAAAATCATTGATACGTTAAATTATTCAGTATTGCCATTGCCTAAATCATTCAGGATGACAGATTAGCTTAATTAAATATACGTTGTAAAATACTAGATGTTCAAATTATTTTTAAATCAATCTTTGAAATTTTTAGCAATATAATTTGTTTTAACTAACAGCTGCGGTTGAAAATAAAAATATTCTATAGAACTATAAGGTTGTTTTATTTACTCTATGATTTTGTCATTGATTATAGGAAATAAGTAAGGTTAGTAGGGATAATTAGACCACAGATATAAGTAAGACCATTGCTGTTTAGTGTTTACAAATCGAGACTCTGCTCACAAATCTTAAAATAAAATTATAAGCAAATTATTTTACTGTTCGACTTTTCGAGGAAAGATTAAGAAAATAATGTGTAAAACAATGTTTTAATTCATCTTGGTTGCTTTTTGTTTACAATAAATGTTTGACTGCTTAAGCGTTGTTTGGATTAGGTCTGGAAACATTGATATCATCAAAAAAGGAGATCAAGAATTATAAGGAATCGCGATTTTAAAATATTACCACAACCCCAGACGGGTTTTATCCATAGATAAACAGATGGATGACATTGATTGACATGGATTGAACACCAGGTTATCATTGACTTAGAAAACTGCAATTAGACTTGCCATCCTTTTATGAAATCTAAAAAGTTGACTGGCGTGTGTTAATGTGTGGTTACGTTTGGGGGCGCTGATGTAGGCAAAATATCACTTTTATTTCAACTAAATATCTTATTAATAAATATCTTAGATTGAATAAATGAATATAGGAGATTACGATGTCCATAGATTCAATGAGGGTAGGTACACGGATAGAGCTGATAACGGTATGGATAATAAACTTAGACATTACGTCACTAGCTTTACTATCGTGTTTACTTTTTAAATTCCTTCAACATTTGACCAGTTCTTTTTTCATACGAATTGTTATTTTAACCAAACAGCTGTTTTAAAACAAACTTTTTTATGTTATTGTTTTTACTTTTCTTTGTTTATACTTATTTATTTAGCAATAATTAATAATTGATGCTGTGAAACTGATATAAAGGATAGGTGTGGTTATGTTATGTGTACTGTGAAGTTTATTGGATATCATCGTTTTATATTAGGTAGTTTCTATTCAGATCTACTGGAAATTGTGTATAAAAAGAGTAATTGTATTGTGGTGATAATAATGAGGGAAGAGGCAGGTGATAGTATGCGATGGAAGGTGGTATCGTCGACTAAGCCTATTATACACTACTCAATTGACACTTACTCTCTCTACTGTACTTATAATCAGTGTGGTCGGCCGCAAATCTCACTTCAATGCTTTTCAAATCGACACAATTGCTGTTTTATTGTAAAATTATAGAACTTAAATTTCATATCATATAGGCTTATAATGGGATGAAAACATATTTGGTTACGGGACATTTGTTTACAAGATTATTTTTTACATTCAAACTGCAAGAAAATTTGTTTTTAAACATGTAAACTAGCTGTCCTGAATATACACAGTTGTAACTGACTACTCCATTCCCGTACGTAGGACGGGCTAACACCTCGTTTGAGTTAAAACTTTTTCAGCTACCATGTGACTACTAACTTTAATTATGTTTGATTTTTAACCTGGAAGAAAATTTTTAAATATTATTCAATGAAATAATATAATGTCAACCAGATTTTTCATGGTTATTGATAATTTTAATAGTTGAATTTTGTGTAAAGCTCAAATTAAAATATTTTTGTGTCACAATTTAATTTGTGTCAGAGTTATGTAAAGTTTACCAGTCTGTCAATATGTAAATGTGGGTATTTAAATTTTATTTTATCATCAATTTAATTTAAATATTTAATCATGCAATGTCCATTATGCAATATTTTATTCTTGAAGTCAAATTTATATCAGTGCTGTCTAATTTGACTAAACAATTTCAATTTTTGAAAATACCTAGGCTAAGCCTTGTCAGACAAATTGTGTGATGAGTAAAATGTTACTAAAAAGAGTATATTTTGTTCTTGTAAAAAAGGAGAAATATTTAGTGTTGAATAGAATTTAGATGTGTAAGTCAATGTATTTTATTGTTAAATTTAAAACTGTACTATATTTTAACTATAGTATGTTCTGAAAGATTTTAAAATATTGTGTAAACCTTATTGTTCAAATAGCAATGTCAAATGTTGATTATTCTGAGATTAGCAACCATTTTGTGTTATGAAAGAAAAGTATAAATATTAATTAATTATAATACTGTATTTATGGAAATTTATTTATAGAATATTTTGGGACAAATTTTATTATGTCTTGGAATATTCAGGGTTTCCGGTCTTGGATGCCACATCTGTGTCATCATCGCCCAACACTCGACCCCACTAAGACCTTTGGTCCAACTGCGGCTCAACTCCACCAGGGATGCTGCGACTGGTAGTTCAAACCTAACACTAGCTACTGATCTACCCACCACCAACAACTGTCAGCTGAAGGCTAATGAGAACTTTCGGAACTTAGCATTTGAGAAGTTAGCTGGAAATTGCATTGAAATGACATCTACTCGATAAGCCCTCACAGGTGACCTAAATTCAATATTACTCAAGCAGAAGAAGTGTTACACTGGATTATTAAAAGACATTTCTTCTGAACTTGTTTTTTTTTTTAAATTTTGAGGAACATTTTGAATCGATACATTTTGAGAGTTGAGATTAAATTTTGATTTGATCCTCCTTAATGGGACTTATATAATTTAGCCAGATATTTTCATCAAGACTTTTGGACTGACTAGAACTATGTGTGTTATTGTGGAAGATTAAAGCTAGCGGACAACTGGGTAGAATTAAGTTTGTTATACGTGTTTTGTATAGGTGTAATTTTTGCTTAAAATTGTGTATTTTTTTGTGTCAAAAAATAATATTTCAGGATAACTTATGTTCTACTGAGTTTGGAATAATTTGAAAATACAAAAAAACTAAAAGGAAGCGCTTCCCAGTAGATACATAGAATAGATAAAGATAGTATATTTGAGAGTTTATGTAGATAAGATTTGTATAGGTACAAATTTTGTTGGTATTTTTTGCAGTAATAATCTATTGAATAATATTATTGATAGCCTTTTTAAAACTGTTGTTGGTTTGATTATTGCAATTTATTAATGTTTATGTGGAATATCAGTCAAACTGTAATTAATTCTCTCATGCTGCTATATTAGGCCTAGTTGTGTATTTTGAGACTTATAGTATGTTGTTCAATTCTGAGTTTCTTTAATTTAAATCCTGGCACTTGGTATAATTAATATTTCCATCACACTAGCTTGCCATTGTTTCCTTGTTTTACAACTGGCAGCCAAAAGCTATTACAACAAGGTGGCGCCCTCTCAAACAAGACTAGGTACTGGTTACCCCTGGATATTATGATCTGGTATGATTTCATATGAGTGTATGAACCACACCTACTCTACCTGAAAGTTACAATAAACATTTTTCCTGGGCTAGTTGGTACAATTTTACAATTTTACTATGTAAAAACATTTTTTTCTTTACCTTTTTGCAGAGTATTCCACCTCTGCCAATGTGTTGTAAACTAAGCATGCTTTTTCATAGAGCAAAGTTTTCAGATGACCTTTCCAAGACAAATCATCCACAGTTTCTGGAGAATGCCATGTTGGGAGTGCCATTGCCTGCGGCTTTTTCAGCAAAGCATTGCGGTCTGAATTCCTGAAGCAGATATTTCATTTTTAGCATAAAAATTTGTGAAATCTTGTTGTTATCCATTCATAACTTATGAAACTTTAAATTGCCTGCTCAATTTAATTTATATAAACACTTATGATGTGTCAAGGTAAAGAATAACAGTCGTAGTATTTATAAAACAGGTATATTTTAATTTCATCACAAAAATCTAGCGATTTCAGACATCAATACATTTAGTTTTATTCCTAAAGCAAAAAACATGTTGCTTTTATAAATGATTAGGTAGGTTATGTGAGGATATTTTTATAAGAACATCAGAATTATTTTAATTGAGCACACTAACTAAAAACAAGACTACTGAACAGGTAATATGATATTCATCTTTTGTTATCTTACTAATATTTTAAGTGAGAAAGTTTGGATGTATGGATGTTTGTGACAAGTAAACGTGAAAAATACTAAACCGACAGGGTTAAAATTTGGTATAATGATAGCTCACATTCCCGATTAACACAGACATATTCTTATCTCAAAACTCCTTTCGGGCTCCACCCCAGTGGCTCTGGAGGTTCTAAGTTAACCTTATGAGTACCTATTCATATTTCAAAGGAATTAAAGAAATTTGTCAGCTGTTTCAATTACACAACTTGGTTCTATGATATTCAATAGCAATAAAAACTTATTAGGTTTGCCAAAAGGGTGCAGCACTATTATTTTGTTTGCATTTATGACAACAGCTAATTTTAACCAAGCAGCAACAAAAATCTGTGATACACTATGAGAATTTTACTTTTTTCTATTGTTTAGATGTTTCTATATGTTTGGAACATTAAATAATTACTAGTGGCTTACTAGTGGTAGGGGCAAACTTGGCAAATTTATTTATTTTGCACTAAGCTATCAATATTTTACTAAAAAACACACTTTATTAGTTTCCTTGTAGCAGCAAACCTAGGTACTCGTTAAACCTAATGTTATTAAAATATATTTAACTAGGCGAAACCCGTCGAAATCGACGGTCACTGTCAAGGCTTAAGCTAATTATTCATATACGGAAAGTAAGGATCTAGTGGATCTAGTGGAATATACTTGAAGTGAAGTTGGCTTTTACTCTTAAACTGTTAGGGACCTCCTCGTTTATATGGTCGTGCGGCTTCATTGGCAACAAATAATTCAAATTACATAACAATGCCACATTTCCAAAAAGCAATAAATACTGAAAATTGGCTGTTACGTAAATATTGACGTTTACATGCATTGTTAAACAAAGTATCTTATAAAGGATGATGTGATCAAGTTTAAAAGGAACATGACCTTTCTGTCATGACAGTAGCTGCTAAAATAGTATTTACTCTTTGAGCCTTTTTTACAGCCAAAATGCCGTGTTATTTTAAATCATGTTAACAACCCAGTGAGCCACGGTCTGTAATATAGATCACTTCAAATAATCTGTCAAGATAGGTACCATTTTAGGCCAGATTTCTGTGTTTGGATGTTATTACACGCGATAAGAGCACAATATACTTCTTCTGCAGATAATAATCTGCTGGAGAAATATAAGCCGAATTATAAATGTCACAATGTGAGTTTGAGCATTTTGTAACTATATTGGTAAGTTACATAGTATTTTCGAGGCTGCTGCTCAGTGCACTTTAAGAATATATTTTTAGAGATAAATTAAATGGTTTTTGTTGCTGAGTAGCGTTAGTAAACATGCACAACCCATTTCGTTATTCTAATAACATTCAAAGGCTCTCTAAGAGTTCAAATTCTTATTTGTATACTTATCCATATTATGTTTTCACTAAGTTGAATTAACAACATCGAAGTAACCTCTCTGAAAAGTCTGTAGTAAATTGCAGTTTTACAGCTTAATGACTTTCTAAATCATGCACATATTTCTACATAAATATTGTAAATTGTTTTATCCAGTTGCTGTAAACTACTATTAATTTAGCAAAATATGGACACTGGGGGCAACGTGCCCTTCTGCACTTGTATAATTTTTCCAATGATTGAAAACATGTATAACAATAATCTCGTGAACCTATGACGATCTGTATAATAATATGATAAAATATAAGCAAAAGTGGGGGAAAAGGCAGACAACAACCCGTACAGCAGATATAAGAAATTATTGTAAGAGTTCTGTGATAAAAGGAATTTCCACTGATTTCGTAATGGGATGTTATATTGCAAAACATGACATGATACAGAAGAAAATAAATTTTAAAATCAGAAAATAGCATTGCAAATACTATTCTTTTGGTCAATTTAGTAACTCCCAATAAATGTGTGTTGTTTAAAACACAATTGAAAAATCAACAGCTGTTTCATTAAACAGTATTATCTACATGGCCAAAATGTAAACAAATTTGTCAAGGTATCTTTAAAAGCTTCTGGGGCAGAGCCCTAAGGGAATTTACTTCGTGTTTCTTTTGATAACTCATCTAAAGACCTAGGCCTTTCTTTGGAGACCTCTACCATGTTTCTACGTCCAGTTGTTCTCTCAAATTAGTGGAGACAAAGTTTCCAATTAAATATTTAGATTTCCCCATGTTAATCTTATGGGAGAAAACCCAACTTTGATGGAAGATCCTGCCCAAACTAATAAAGATTTCAAAAAACCAAAAACACTTTGCAAAACTACAGATCAGGGCCATTTCGTTGACACTTTAATCATCAAAATCGGTCCAAAAATGTGGGAGGAGTTCTGTTAACAAAAATCGGCTTAGCGTATTATATATATAGAAGATTGAAAATCAATTCAGACAAATGGAAATTCGCTTAGTCGGCAGGTTCGCTGCGGCGGGGGTATTTTTCATTACATTTGTTGTATGGATTAAAGATAGTCACTTACATGTAAATCACGCATTAGCAGTGGGTCGCATTTCAGAAATCTTTGACCCATTCTGTGAGTAACAGATGTGTTTACGTCGTATATATAAAGTTAGGCATATTTCGTTCAATGTTAGAGGGTATTAGCGGTCCAATCCGATTGTAAAAGGAGTCCTGGATCTATAAATTATATAGACTACTACTACCAGAAAGATGTTGATTCAAGTGACACTTAGAACTCGCCATTTCAAATGCAGATTTGTATGATATTATATTATTCAAATAGTTTTTTGTTTCTTTTGACCCTTAATACTTTTTTTATAGTCGCTGTAGCCACGTTGATAAGATTTTCCATAAACTTAAAATTAGGGATGGTCAAGTCTCGAAATTTCGGGAAATTTTCGGGAAATTTTCAATCTCGTTACACGAGACGAGATTACTTTTTGGCCGAGATTTTTATCGAGACGAGAATAAAAAAAAAAAAAAAAAAAAAAAAAAAAATTTAAAACGCCTGCAGAAAGTCAATGCAATACCCGCAATACAGGAGCGTGTTGTAGTTGCGTTTCCTTTTCGAAGGCGTTCTTATTTAATTAATTCTTTTAATGTAAATATTACTTTAATTCTTTTAATGTAAATATTACTTTCATTATTTTAATAATATTACTTTAATAACATTTGAGAAGTTTTGTTAAGTGTAAGCAGTGTGAGGAATGTTTTATTACTATAAAAAAGTCAAAACAAGTAACTATTTTATAAAAATTAATATTGCTTTTATTTTATGATTTATTTTATTTTAGGATAAGTTGAACTCTATCCTAACTGATATCACCATGTTTCCTAATCGTAGGCATTTTTAATAAGTTAGGCGTGATTAATAAAAAAATGTTATGCTGATGTTATTTAATGAAAGATTGTAAATATTCTTGCCTATTATCATTATTTTAGTATTTAAACAGTCATCTAACAATGTTACAAAATCAGGTAAAAATTTTGAACGTGCATTTCCCGTTGTGTATGAGAAGAGAAATCTCGTCTCGATCTCGTCTCGAAATTTTATGAGAAATAAAAAATCTCGTCTCGTCTCGTCTCGAACTAAAAATCCAATCTCGTCCATCCCTACTTAAAATGTTGATAAGGAGCTCATTTTACCTTTTCTTGAGACATCATAAGGAGAATATATTTGTGTCCCTGTTAGTCTGTTCTGATTCGAAATTCATAGATTTGCAGTAGTGACAAATCCAATTTAACGACCCCAATTCAAAAGAGTTGGTGTTTTTTTGTAAGGACTTCCAGAGCACATTTAACACCATAACTGCTCTATACCTTTTTAGTTTGATGGTTCTCTACGTGTTTTTTCGTTCTGTATGTCTCTTTACGCCCGGTTAATGATTATCTTTTGTTTTTCTTTTAGTACTTTTCACACCCTGGGGTTAATGATAAAGTTTTATAACGCTATAATGACCCGAGTCAACATTGCCATTAAACATCAAGTCACATACTTCTTCGCCAGAACTGAAATTGTAAGTCACAATTTCTCAAGCAACTTCCCTGTGTACTGGAAAAAAAATAGTTAGGGTATAGTTCACTGATAAATTGTAGTTCCACGTATCCCAGCGTACTCGCCATCTCGAGAAGGTAAAATTTGGTACTGCTAAAAAAACACTGATCTTGAGTAAGATGAATCACTTACAATAAAGTGTTTGTATGTTTCCCACTCATTAGCAATTATCTGTACAACTTGCAAGTAGATTTCCCTATGATTGTTCTGTTGGGTATAGAGAATAAATTATATTGATCAAATAAAACAATAAGTTTCCGTCCCCTTCTTTGGATATTATTTCACATTCCATACTCAAACTTAAACTCAATTACCACTTTCCTTCAGATCACTTTGCAGGAAAACTAAAACATTTCAAAAATATAAAATTTACACCAAAACCTACAAATAATGTTCAAATACATAATAAATAAAACATTGTGGTATATTAACTTAACAAATACACTTTTCCTTTAAAAAAATTGTGTGTTTATAAACAGAAACTCCTAGATTATAGTAATGACATACTAAAAGTGAGGTTATAAAAATAATAACAAATGTCTGACAAACATTTAACAGCTGACGAAAAATTAATAAACTGTGTATTATATTCTTCAATAAGAATTGTATTGACTCGACTTTTGAAGGG